CGACGGGGCCAGCCTCAGCCAGTCGAAGAGCCCCAAGTGGAAGTTCGAAAATGGCAACCTGAGCCTAGCCTCTTTGAAGTAAAACTCATACATCGTAAAGCGCATCCGCCCGTATTTCAAGCAGATTCGATGACCTGGCCGGGGACGGTAGACTTGCCAATTTTGAGGATCCCCCTCTTCCCGGTCCTCCACGGTGGCATAGGCCCCTGTCGGATCAGAAGCAAAGCAGGAGGGCGTGGTTAGAGGCTCCTCGTCCACCCAGTCTCTGATCGGAACGACGCGCTCATCAAAATAGATGACGTCCGACTCATTATCCTCGACCATTGTGCCCAGGACGAGCGTAGTCATTAACACCTGAAAAGAAGAAGGTAATGGTGAATTCGATGACAGAGATCAAATTCACCCTTCCACCGCGATTCAAGTGAAAGGGCGACGAGAACTCCCCGAGCATCGTCCTCGGTGGATCTGCCCTAACCTACCACCTCCCCGGTTATCAGCATGGCCTGAACTGCAAACCCTCCTTGGAGGCGCCCGTCGGAATAGACGTCGCTCCCCGGGACGTTCATCGGAGTAAAGAATCCCTCCCCGGGGCATTCATCGGAAAAAGCTTCCCTCCCCGGGATACTCATCGGAACTAGTGTCTCTCCCCGGGACATTCATAATAAAAACCCTAAAAAAAACCCTAGAACGACGGAGATCTTCGCCTCTCCTCGGGGCATTCAAACGGCCCCGACCACGGTCATAAAACAAACAAGAAAAACAGAAGAAAAGAGAAAGGAAACTTACTGCGATGAAATCTACGACGGAGAATGCGGCAGTTGTGACGACAAAGATATCAAACGGCGGAGGGACAACAAGCAAGAAGCTTAAGAGCAAGAGGGCGAAAAGTGAGAAATGAGCGGGGGCTCGCTTACTTATACCCCTGCACGGGACTCGAAGCATCGCTAGACACTTGAGTACCCTAGGGTAGCCGCCCTAGCAGCCACCCAGCGCGTGACACGTGGCGGAAGCAGACAGATGCGCCCCTTCACCTCTCCTCGCCAATACCCGTCTTCAAGCCCGGACAATCGACGATGTAGAACACGCGTGCTCACGCTAAAGGATCTTCCCTTGGGCCAGTCCACTTCCCCGGAACGACGTCATCAAGTCCTCGCTCCCTTCCTCGGATCAACGACTTGGGGGGCTCCTGTTCTGGCCTGGGCCCCGGGCTGACCACGCGGGCCCAACCCAATAATGTTCCACCAGGCCCTATCCAGTCCGAGTATCGCGTCGGGCACGAGGTCCCCGACGAGCTAGAAAGGCCTCCCTGCGAGGAAGGCCTACCCCAACTACGTCGGGATGGAGACTCCCCGCTCGGTGAACTCTACCCTCCGAGGACAAGACCTGCCCCCCTGCGGGCAGAACCCGCCCTCCTGTCGGGCAGGACAACGTGTCCTTCACACGTTCTCCACGTGCTCCCCTCCGCGGGGACACGTCACCTACCAACTGCCCACCTCCGAAAGAGCAGGTCAAACCCACTTTCCGGAGATCAAGGGATAGTTGGACTAGGGCGAAGACCACGTTCTGGTCTTCACTACGCCACGTAAGCCCTAACAGTCACATGGGTTAAGCCTGGCTATCCAGCCCAACACAAGTAACCGTTGGCCCAGCGCTGGGGTCTCTCTATAAATACCCTCTTTCACAAGAGGGTCAGGTAATTCACATCTTGCCCTTTCTGTACTTTGCCCTCACTCTGCCCAATTCCTTACTTTGGCATCAGAGTGTCTTGCAGGTACACCCCCTTCTCCTCCTCATCACCGGTGAACAGGTGGCAGTCCAACAGCGTGAGGCCAGCCAGTGATTCCCTTCTGATCAGGTCAGATCAATTATCATTTTTGGTTTCATGATGGAATTATTAGGGTTGTAGAAGACTCCCAATTTCATTTAATCACGTTCATTTTCTCAGAGACAAATGTTAGCAAAATGCTTTTCCAGTATAAGACTTCTTCATCAACCCGTGATGGCATAATCCACTTATTATTGCTCTACACAAGCTGCAACAATGTAAACAATTACCATTTTTAGTCATTCATAACAAAAATAGATCTGATTCAATAAAAGACCAAACTTTGGTGCAAAACGCTTCTTAAAAACTGCTCAGGTTCCATAGGACTACACAAGGTGCAATTCAAATACATTGTAAATATAAAAATGGAATAGGAGGGTTAGAGGATTTCTACTAAGAAAAACCATTCAACTATCACATATACAATCTAAAAAATATATATACCCTATTATTGCCGAAAGTTCAAGTAAGAAGGAAGACAAACTATCATCCAAACCAAAAGAGCTACCGCAATTCAGGTCTTTTACATAACTTTTCATAAGCCTTTACATATCTAGGTGCAACTTGTAACAGGTTATGCATCAGTGCTATATAAATACAATACTAACAGATTTACACAAAACAAACAAAAATCATTGCAAATTTCATCAATGATGTGAAAAAAATCGAAAAATTCCAACAACACAAGAATTAAGTGTGTGAGATGGAGAAAAACTACCTCTGACTTTCTTGCAAATTGAAAGGGACGACAACAGAGAAGGGAACGACGACGGCGGTGCTAGGGTTTGACGGGAAAGAGAGAGAAAACTTAGAGAAGGCTAGGGAAAGTGAATGGTAGGGAGAGAGAAAAGGAAAAAGTAAATGAGACTTCTGTACTGCAAATAGAGAAAATGTGCTTTAATGTTTTGGTAGGAAGGGCTGAAAATGAATTTGTTTGATGTAGCAAATGGAAGAGTGACATTTTGCAAGAGAAGAGGGTATTGGACCATATTTTATTTGGCACTTAGTTGATTACTATTGTGGCCTTTTGCTAGTGTCAAATTATTTAAAGGAAAGGGCAAATAGGTAAGTTTGGACAATTTGTTTTTGAAGTGTTGATAGTATATGGTATTAAAAAGAGTACAAGATGTGCTAAACTCAATACAAGAACACCAACAAAAGAAGGGAAGGAACAAAGTCCCACATGAAAGGGAAAAACTACACGCCTACCTACATCAACGGGTTAGAGTTCAACACTTTCCTATCTAAATTAATTTTATCTTTGAACAAAATAGAAAAACAATCCCATTCCAAAACCTTGATCAACTTCAAAATTTTTCCTCCATTCCAAGCATTGTCATTAAAATCCAACTCATTCCTATTCAGCTACACACTCCAACAAACCAACAATCAAAAGAAAAAAAATAGTAAACAACCTTAGCTAAACTGTCACGAACCTGTCCCAAACAAAACAATACTGAAGTGCCATCACTGCCTCCGTCTCCACCGAAACTAACCCCAAAAGACCTTCCCAATCCTAGCCATTACAGAGCTGCGAGATATTAATAATTTTTAATCCAATAATTTTTTTAACGAATTGTATAAGTATTTAAAAATTTTAATTAAAAATTTTAATAATTAAATAATATAAAATAATATAAATTTAGTGGGAGTGCATTTTGAAAACTAAACTTCTTTGATGAACATTGTAAATATACAAAATAAATAGGTTTAATGCATTATTTAGTCCCTTAACTTTATAAGAAGTTTCACTTTGATGTCCTAATTAAAAAACATTACGTAATGATCCCTTAACTTCACTTTCATTAAACTATGTGGTCCTTTCCGTTAGTTTCTATTGAAAAACGTTAAAAGATGTCATGCTGGAATATTTATATCTGATGTGGAATTTATTTATTTTAATATTGTTATAAGAGAGGAGTTGACTACTCTTCCCTCTTCTTCACGTGTTACTCTACCCTCTCTCATCAAAACTAACACGTTTTCCTATCCACTTCCTGCCAAGTGCTCAACGACACATCCCTTACTTCAAACAACTTCGTTTCTATCTTTCTTCTTCCACTCACCTGCTACAAGTTAGGAACAAGTTATACGATAAAGAGATAGTATGCTAGTTTATTGGGGTTGGAACAACGCAGAGAAGCGTAAATATAATTATTTCATTAAAAAATATTTGGTATTATGTCCCGCTGTCCACTTAAAAACCACCAATAGATCATATTTCTAACAACTATGGGAGAAATGTGAATCCAAAAAACAAGCAAAATAGAGGGAAAAAAAGGTAAGCAGTGTGTAAGTACAAAATCTCCACCGAGTAGCACGCCTGCAACACGACATGATTATAATATGCACAAAACCAGATAAATTAACATTTTCGAAGACAAAATGACATTTGGTTACAGAGTAGAACACTGTTATCTTTATTGCCTAAAAATAAACAAAATTTAGAAAGTACAATTTTTCTTCATTAATATATCTCATTATAAGCTCACTCTTATATGTTAAATACATGCTTCATGAATCATGACACAACATAGACAACAACGACTTAAAAAAAAAGTTAATCTTAAAATTCTTTTACCTAATCTTAATAGTTAAAATTAAAAAAAAAATCTTCTACTAAAAAAGGGTAAAACTTTATTATGTTCTTCAATGATATAATAATATGAATTATCAATTTAATAATATTATGTTTGTGTTGAAGTTTTTTTTTGAGTTTAATTGTTAGATGGTGTATGATAAAAAAAATTGAATTTATTTTAAAATTTTCTAAGTTTTGATATATTATGTTGAAGGTGAGGATAAAGATAAAGAAAGAGAAGAGAGAAGAAGATGAATAATCACCACTTTACTGTTTGTATACTTGACATGCCACCTCAGCTTAAGTTGACTTTTTTTTATCCAAACTAACAGAAGAGACCAAATAATTTAACGGAAGATAAGTCAAGGATCATTATATAAAATTTTTTAATTAGAGTATCAAAGTAAAAATTCTTTTAGATTTAAGGAACCAAAAACTAATTATGCCAAATAAATAAATAAGATGTCACGTGCATTAGTTGCCTTGATATTAAGCAATACATCTATAGGAATATAATATAGAGACTCAGATCGGAAGCACTGAACAATAGTGGAGCCACAAGTGTAGGTTCCATCTCCGTTTAGTGGAGCCGCAATGGCCAATCCCTCCGGTGGAAGAAAGCCAATCACACATGTCGTTTTTGACATGGATGGTCTCTTGCTCGGTATCTCTTTCTTTCACTATCTCCATTCCATTCCATTCCATTCATATCTTACACTTATCAATTCTCAATGAAACCACATAGTTTGTGTTCTTGCATAGGGATAAAATAAATACATGAAGTCAAGGTGTTTGTTAATTTGCCAATTTGATATTATTGCAGACACGGAGAAATTCTATACTGAAGTTCAGGAAATTATACTTGCTAGATACAATAAAACCTTTGAGTGGTCCCTCAAAGCAAAGATGATGGGAATGAAAGCTATAGAAGCTGCAAAGGTCTTTGTTGAAGAGACTGGAATCAGTGATTCACTTAGTGCTGAGCAATTTCTTGTAGAAAGAGAAGAGATGCTGAGGAGTTTGTTTCCAACAAGTGAACTTATGCCAGGTATATATATATGGAATCATGGATTAATGGTGATTTCATCAACATAAAGACTGATGGATATTGTTTGCTGTTAACTATGGAAACTAGGACTCACATTTGAAAAGGGGGCAACTAGAAATTGAAAGCTTTAGTAATATAAATGATTAAAAGGGGTATATGAATTGATTTATTTTAATAACCTGTCACACCCTTACACTTGGATGGCTCTAGGCACGTCTTTTTAACTGTAAGGCTTGCTGATATTTTATTTCGTTTTTGTTGATTTATATGAATTTACATGGATTCATAATTGAATGTTCGATAGTACATTTAGAGTTTATAAACAAGGGCAAGACCACTCAGGTCACTCACTTGATATTTAATTCTAGGAGTGTGTTAGGGACCCAGTGTATGGATTTGGGCAAGAAGAGTTGACTGTGGGCCAAGAGGGACCTACTGGTCCTAAAGTGTGGCAAGTTTACTCAAGGAGTGGTAAGAAAGGCACAAAGGCGCGTGAGGGGAATGAGCTGGCAACTTAGTGCTTGGGTTGTAACCAATTTTGTTAAGCTGGGAGATGGAATAAGTAATTGGAGGAGTGGTTCAAGGAGGTATCGAGAACAGTGAATTGTAATTCTGTTGAACAGAGAGCATCTAGCACCCTAGGAACCCAGCTCTGTGGCAGTAGAGATCAGTTAGATCCTTCTGTAAACTCATTCCTAAATACAATGATAAGTAGCTTATCATTTGTTCTCTTGGTTCTTTTAGTTTTTTGCATCTATATCTCCGGGTTATTTCTACAGGACCTAACAGAATGAGGAGTATGTGTTTAGTGTCCCGCGTTAGATGAGATTGAGTTTGAAAATGAGCTTATAAGTGGGATCGTTTTCATCTTACAATTTGGTTTTGAAAGGGTTGAGTTGAACCAGCCCAAATTCTAATCCCATCATCTACTTGCTACGTGCCTGCTCAAGTAAATGTGATGGAAAGGTCTTTAAGGTCCTACGAATAGCATATAGAAAGCAACCCACGAGTGTTTTATTCTACGTACGACACTTCATCTTACTTCCTGGCTGATAAACCTGTTCAATTCTGCATTTTCTGTGCTGTTCATTCTCATCTGTCTCCACTTCTGATATGTTTCACTACATGTTTACTTTTCCCAACTTATAAGCATTTTCTGCTTTTATGAAAGACTGAAACTTCATCCTTACCTTGATTAACCACCCTTTTTATCTTTTATTTTTTGGAGTAATTTTGTAAAGATTCCTATTTGGTTCTTTCTAGTCATTTCTCCCTCTCAGTTTAATTGACTGCTTCTCTTTGTTCAGTCATTGATTCTCCCCTCAATTAAACTTTTGAATGAAGATCTATATTTGATAAGCAAGTCTGAAACAATATATTAAGCATCTCAAATTCTTTGTTGGCCCACCTGGTGAAAACATGGAAAGAGTCATGTTACATGTTCAACATCAAGATGTTTTTGCAACTAATAACTTGTAACCTACCTTAGCTTTGAATTTCATAAAACCTTATTGAGCATGTGTAATGAAGCTGCCAGCTAGTGCAAGCCCAAAGAAGAATGAGTCAGCCACATCAGTCACGGAAATGTGAAAGCAAGGCAAGTATTGGGATCCTAAGTCTGTTGGGAAATTCCCAAGAATACAAGGATCTAGGAGAGACTTGAGATAATGGCTAACCGACTCGCAATTGAGGGACTGTGGCATGAATTGGGGTATATATAATGGGAGAATGAGTGAAGTAGTCATACATGATTTGTGATGTTAATTTTCTCTTCTTCCTATCTCAATTTCCTCTTTCATATACTCTTCTCATTCTATATTCCCACTTGTATTGATTACAATCCAAGTCCTCCTAATTGAGTTGATTACAATTCCATTCAATAAAAGTAATAACCTTCTTCATTGCTAGTATCATTACATTAGTGCTTTCATTTTCATCACGGCAGAGCAGATGTGGACAAATACAGTAGAAGCTCAATTCAAGAAATTAGACGAATCTTGCAACAATCAATTTGATCGAGTTATGCCTTATTGGACGACTTACTTAAGAACATAAGTCTTCGCTTAGCTTTTCCCATGGTGTTGTGAACGCGTTTAATGCAACCCTAAGACAACCATTGCAATCTAATTCCATTTCAGAATTTAGGCACCGTATGGCTGAATTGCCCAAACAGTTTAAGCACCGTATGATAGAATTCTCACGAGAATTCAGACTATCATAGTATTGTGTATGAAATAGATGCTTCAGAGTCACCAATGATTACTCTTTCTTCTCCAGATGATTTTCTTCATTCTACAGAACGGATTGAATCGTTGTCCATCATTGAGAATGGAATAGTCAATGTGACACACATGGACCTCTGCCAACCAATTTCTATAGAGAATTACCGAACCTTTGTGTTAAAGCCAATCAATGATTTCAACGATGGTCACCTAAGCAGCATGACCCTGGGTTGTGTTGATGCATCGTCTGCCAATGGCAACAATCTCGTCGTCTTTAGCACCTCACCATCGGAAGAGGTCCCATTATCACATAGTGCTTTCATGAAGATGGCTAAGCCATTGCAAGAGGTCAAATTTTCACACAATTGCTGTTATCGTCACTGGAGTCAATTGTACCTACACGACTTTACATGTATTTGGACATCAAGAAATTGTAGTGGTTGTTACTGAGCATAATGTTGGAAATACTAGTAGTTTATATCCTTCTTCAATCATTTTTGTTTTCAAGGCTTTAATTACAAGGTGTATTTAGCTGCTTTTTAGTCACACTTAATGAATTTTCCAGCCGAAAATGTTTTGGTGCAAGCTGCTGAATCTGATCTTGGTACCTTGGCTAATGTCATTGCATACCGAGGGTTCTAACTTCTAACTTCTAAGTTTTGGGAATTTTATGGCAACGGTGGAAGATTATTTGTGAAGAGGAACTACTGCCCGGCCTGTTATAAGGTCCACCTAAATTGAGAACGGAAAGTTGTTGTGATAATTGTCTGCTATTGTTACACTGCCATGGTAGTAATGTTAGTAAGGAAAGGTATCCACAACTGCAAATGGGTGTGAAGGCTGCAGTATACTTATCCTAATTGTGAGGAATGTTCACTGGTAAAATTTTTTGAGGATAGTGTTCATGTGCCTTGGAGAAGGAAAATTGCCAACAGAAAAATAATTGTCAGTTTCAGGGGGTTGTATCATTTATTCGATTGCTTCATGAGCTTATTTAGCAACCTGGGACAACTTTGCAGACCAGTGCAGGTCAATTCAGATTGCAGCAGGTTTTCAAAAATGACATCATTTCAATGAGGCACAGGATGGTTCAGTATCGCAACAGGTGGAAATTAGGATGAACTCAATGTTTGTAGTCACAATATATGCTAAGAGTTTGATCATTTCTAGTCAATCAAATAAAGGAAACAGAAAAATCATTTACTTAATGCTGCAAGAAATGGTTAACTCTATGGGTACATGCATAACCCATGAATGATTGCTCTTCAGGTTAGTTTGGTTTTGTCTATTCTTCATAGCAGCGTAGAGGTCAGTTCATAACTACGATTGAAGTTGTGACGTTACTAAACCTTCATGTAGCTTCATTGCTAGAAAAAGTTCAATATATGTTACAGAAGATGAAGTTCTTATCACAGAATTTTCAGCTTAAGCAGTCAGGGATGTGGCTAAACTGGAAAAATCTTTTATGCTCTTGCAACTTTATCTCAACTTCAACCTGTAGGATAAGGTTGATTTTAAAGGGGAAGGTATTGTAGTGAAGCTGCCAGCTAGTACAAGCCCAAATATGAATGAGTCAGCAGCATTAGCCAAGGAAATGGAAAAGCAAGTTATGTATTGGGATCCAGTCTGTTGAGAAAATCCCGAGAATCGAGGGAGCTAGGAGACACTTGGGGCAACGGTATATAGAATTATAACATTCAACCATGTCATGTACGGCATGAATTAGGGTATACTATATGGGAGAATGAGTGCGGTTATGAGGCATGCATGATCTGTGATGTTAATTCTCTCTTCCTATCTCATTTTCCTCTCTCTTTTACTCTTCTTCTCGGTCTTTTAAATCCCCACTTGTATTGCTTACTATTCCTCCTACTTGAGTTGATCATAATTTCATTTAATAAAAATAGTAACCTTCATTATTAGAATCATTGCAGAATGTTTCAACTATGACCTTGTTGCTTCTTACTGTATATTACTGGCATATTTGAATACATATATTTATGACAAAGTTATAGTTTTCTTACTCTCAATGGTTTCAAGTAGACGTGTTCTGAAATGTTTATGCTGGGTTGCTTGGTATGCCTTGGAACAACTTCTTTTTGAAGATATGGGTGTAGAATTCCTTTCTGTGTGAAATATTTGCAACACTATATTGCCTCATCTCAAATTGTTTTGCATTTAAATAAATCATATGATTATGTGTGAAATTTTCGCAACACTATATCACGTCACCTCAAATTGTTTTGCATTTAAATAAATTATATGATTATCTGTAATTTTAAATTGGGGTGTAAATGTTTGCTCATAAAAATCTTCCAACTACGCAAGATTAAATCTTCGTGTTAGGTATATGTTATCAATCTTTTTTTTCCAATATGTTTGCTCATAAAAATCTTCCAACTACACAAGATTAAATCTTCTTGTTAGGTATATGTTATCAATCTTTTTTTTCCAATATGCATGTTGCTTATATTTTGTATAAATTGAACTCTAGATGGATGAGTGAAGGTGAAAAGACTGTCATATCATACCTTGTTTTATATATATTTGTTTATAATGGAATAAATAGCTCAATTTAGATGAACATGTATATCCAACGGAATACATTCAAGTCCCTTGATTATAAGGATAAATAAAATTAACAAACCTAATCTTATTGAGAGATTTTCCTAACATAATATAACTTGAACCTATACATTTCTTAACCGTTCATATTTTATTTAATTATATATATGTATCGTTGTCTATGTCCTGTGTTTTTTACATTAATTGTGCCGACGTGTTTGTATTCATGTTGTATCAAGAGTTCATGTCGGAGTCCATATCCGTACATCATAGGTAAAGACTACCACTTTTTGTTATAATACTGACATTTTTATGGCTGCTTTTCATTTATCATAGGCGTTAGCCGTTTACTCAAGCATCTACATGCAAAAGAAGTTCCTATTGCCGTGGCAACGGGGTACATTTTATCCATCTAGTGCCTTTATTTTCGGTTAAAGAAACGAGATTTATTTCATGTTATGTATTTGGAATGACTTCTTATACAAAGTTTTGTCAATTTGCTCACAGTTCTCACAGGCGACATTTTGAATTGAAAACGCAAAGACATGGTGAAATGTTTTCTCTAATGCATCATGTTGTTCTTGGTGATGACCCAGAAGTTAAACAGGGAAAACCGTCACCTGATGTATTTCTTGCTGCAGCCAAGAGATTTGAGGTAAACTAATTAGTGAATTTTTGGAACCTAATGACAAATTTGTCCACAAGGAACAAATATACCAATTAATCAACATATCCATTTTCACAGTCTTACAACTTGTCATCTTATTATTCAACTTGAAACATCATAAAAATTAAGATTCAAATTCATTGGAAGGAATTTTTGAATTTTTCAAATTTGAGGAACTATATGTGTTGAGTGTGACTCATAGTCAGAGAAGAGGGGCGGGGACTAATATTCAATAATAATATGGAATTACAGTTGTTCTGTAGTTGCTGACGTATGCACATTTGGTAATTGTTATTTGCGATTTACGTTTCAATTTACCCTTTTGTTACTAGTTGGTGTTCTAACAATTTGGATTTAGAAATGGGGGACTAATATTTGTGATCAGCTCAAATAAGAGGACCAAAAGAATATTTGAGCTTATTATTAAATATTACATTTTCAACTTTAATTTGTTTGTGATCATACATAGTGATGCTTTTTAGTTAATGATTGATTGATGGTCAACAGGGTGGACCAGTAGATCCAGATAACATACTTGTTTTTGAAGACGCACCCTCTGGAGTTCTCGCTGCTAAGAATGCTGGGATGTAAGTGGTCTGAAGCACCTAATGATTTTTTCTGTTTCATTGTTAAGTTCCTCTCAAGAAACTCTAAAATATATTTATAAACTATGATTTATCTGGTTTTGATCTCTCAGAATACTCGGTTACGATGATGTTCACTTATTCTGATTTCTTACTACTCATTTCTCACCTTATATAACTTCATTGCACGTTATTTCGGTTAAACACATACATGCATGGTACAAATGGGAACAGTATAATTTTCTTCAATTTGTTGAGTTTGTTTGTTACATGTCTTGCAGGTCAGTTGTTATGGTTCCTGATCCAAGATTGGACAAATCTTTTCATGGTGCAGCAGACCAAGTTTTGAAGTCATTGTTGGATTTCAACCCCACCGAGTGGGGTTTACCTCCATTTGAAGATAATGGAAGTTAAATGCGAGTTCGTTCAATTTTATTTCATTGGGGCATAAAAAGCATTACATATTTATGGATTTGAAGATAATGGAAGTTAAATGCTGAGTTTCCAAGACTGACGTTCAATTTTATTTCATTGGGGGCATAAAAAGCATTACATATTTGTGGATTTATTGTTTAATCCATTTCCATGGAGTTCTAGTGACACTATTAGATTTTTATATTATCGTGCTTGTAATAATATCACTACAAATCAATATTGGCTCGAGATTTTAGTGATGGATAAATAATTTGATTTGGAATGAATTTTTGTTAGAAGAATGTTCACATTTAGTGTTCGGTAACTTTTTAAATATGACTGTTTCAAGTTGCAGGAGACTTGTGTGTTTTACCAAATTATTAGACAAATGTTGAAAGAGATACATTGACTTCAAGTGTATTATTGTTTTCTATCAGAAGAGATATATGTATCTATACCTATAAATAAATGGAATACATCTATAACTATATAAAGTGGATATAAGTTTCTGGACTAGATTATTTTTTTCTTTCAATATTACTTTAAATATTGGGGGATATTTTGTACACTCAATGTATAGGGTCGCACCTTATTGAAAAATCAAAAATATTTTTAAATTTTGGAAATGCATTTTCAATTGCATTCAAAATACACACTCTATAGAATTTTCTAGCTTTTGATCTTTTAAGTAAGTGCATCCACTTTAGCATTGACTTCGTACATTCAGCCTTTCGGAGCTGATTTTTTGGTAGCAGCGTATTCACCTCCTCATTGAAAATGATTTTGAGACATGTTTTCGATGAGGTCATAGGCTTCTTGATAAGGTTTGTCCAATAAAACACCACCAGCTGCAGCGCTCAAATTCATCTTAGTCTTATACATCAGACCATTGTAGAAAGTATGGATAGTCAGCCATTCTTCGAGTCCATGGTGTGGGTAAAGCCTCATCTGGTCCTTGTATCTTTCCCACGCGTCGAAAAGAGATTTGTTGTCTTTTTTGTTTAAATTTGTTAATTTGGGCTCTTAGCATAGTCGTTTTTCTTGGTGGGAAATATTGGGCTAAGAAGAATTTCTTCAATTCGTCCCATGTGGTGATAGAATTGGATGGTAGAGACTGGAGCCAAGCTCTAGCTCTATCTCTTAAGGAAAATGGGAAAAGACGTAGTCTAATTGCTTCGGGGATGATCCAATGTCGTGTCGTGCCCAATGTCGTGATCTAATTGCTTCTAGCTCGACCCAATGCCATGCCCAAAGAAACCTTCTATAGAACTTAAAACACAACCCAAAAATGTAAGGTATGAGTTCCTAAACACCGAGCTTGAACGACCAGTGATATTCAATGCTGACTTAGGACAGATAGAAACCGAAACATTACTACATGTCTTAAGAAAGTATCCAACAACACTTCGGTATAATATCTCAGACCTAAAAGGGATAAGCCCCTCTATATGTTTGCACTCACATTATGTTAAAGGAGGACTGTAAAACGTCTAGAGAGCATTAGAGAAGGATAAACCCTATCTTGAGCGATGTAGTAAAAAAGAAGGTACAAAAGCTATTAGAAGTAGGAATTATATACCCGATATCCGATAGTAATTGGGTCAGCCCAATACACGTCGTACCGAAGAAGAGAGGTGTTACAATTGTTAGTAACGAAAAGGGAGAATCCATAACAAAGCGAATTCAAACTAGATGGAGAATGTGCATATACTATAAAAAACTTAATAAAGTCACTCGTAAGGATCATTTCCCTTTACCTTTCATCAATCAAATGCTTGAACGAATGGCAAACCATTTTCACTTCTGTTATTTAGACGGATAATACTGCAAGTATACAGTTGTTCGTGTAGTTTTAAAAGATTGTCGAACCCACAGAAATTAATACTCAAACTAATGTTATCTATTGTTACAGTGCAAAGCTAAGGCTAAAGGTTAAAACGATAAGAACAGAAATGAAAATACTAATTGCTAAAGGTTTGAAAATAATGATAAAATGAGCCCGGAATATGAATCCCGTGTTCCTTAGGGACTTGTAGAATTCTGGTGCTAATTATGATTAAATCTAGTTTCATAGAAATATATTGACTTAAAGACTTTGTCTCACACTCTCGCGCTATTGACAAGAACCACACTTCCTAACCATAGAATTTTGCTCTTGCTCGCCCGTTTCAATTAAAAAACATATTTTGAAAGTCAACAAGATCCCAAACGATGCCTAAATCGCTCTCGCTATTTTTAGGATCGTTACCTAGTTTCCACTATCCGGTTCATTCCTCACACTCTCGTGTTATTGTTCTGAACCTTAGTTTGTTTTTCACTCTCGTGACGAAATAATTAATCATACAATTGGAAACTACAACGAAAACAACATATAATCATAAATTCACACCTATAACTTTCTATGGAGTCCCATTGGTAACGAAGATCCTCATACGCCGAACTCAAGTAAATTTAGCAAGACATGACTTTAACTAAAACTAACATGATTAGAGCAATTAAACTTAAAACTAACATGTCGTACAATAATATAAAGCAATAACAAGTGCAAGTAAATAAACGATAAAAACTTGAAAATTAAAGGACTGGAACTTGTATTAAAAAGAAAATGTCGGCAAACTTTGTTTGTGATCCAAGAAGTACAATATAAAGAAATGAAAAGAAAAACATTTATAATAATCCCTTGATGTGAGTTATTGATATTTTTATAGGTAAATTTCTGCTTAATTCTAAATGCGATTCGACAGCGCTACCTCACGACTTGGATGCCTCAGAAACTGCCCCAGAGGACCTATATATAGAGAAACAAGGCCTAGGTAACTGCTCTGGTCGTGCATGCTGATGGAGGGAAAAATAGTTGAAAAACGGCTGAAAAACTGCCCACTGTTGTAGAACTGCTGTTTGCGACTCAATGGTGAACACCATTTGGTGCATTGGCGAACGCCATTGCCTCTTCATTAATTGACGTGGCATGGACTGACAATGGTGAACGCCATCTGGGGGAGGCGAATGCCATATCAATAAAATAGGCAGAATCAACCCTTTTTGCTATTCTTTTGCTCTCTTTTCAGTTTGCTTTCGAATCTGCATCGAATCTAGCTGACAACTATAAAACACATAAAAACAAATTAAAAGGTGATAAAACATAATAAAATACGGACAAGATACATACGCAATAAGCCTAAAAACATGATACGATTTCTCGTTATCAAACTCCCCCACACTTAGACTGTTGTTTGTTCTAAAGCAATCTCCCAAAGCGACCGAGCTTGAACGACCAACAATTTTATTTTCAAGATTCATTTTCTAAGAATGAACTCAAGCGTGACACTTTTGTTCGTCTGAAAACTAATCACACATTTATTTTACCGCATGATTTAATTATTGTATTTTATTTTCAAGATTCGTTTTCTGAGCTGAACCTAAGGGTGACACTTTTATTCATTCGAGAACCAATCACGCGCGTTTTATTTCCCTAAATAATTTATTCTACAAACAAATTATTTATTATGTTTATCACAGTCATGTCCAACCAAATCTGTTGTGTTGGGATGTGAGGACCGTCTTTTCGACGGTACTCCACATGTTGTATTTGTAGAAAGACTTTAGGGGCAGTTTTGGATTTTAGATCAACTTTTCTGAACTTAAATTGATCGGCCATTACGTGAATGAGACTATGTTTCTATTGGCGTAATGACTGTGACTACGTCGGGTAAGATCGAAAGTCGTCTGACACTTTAGATAAGAGTTGGTTAGTTTTTAATTGGTAACAACAGCGAAAGTGCTTTATTAATTAATTAGGAAAGTTTGATATTATTAGATAGTGATTTTAAAACTTTTTGCGGACGCGTTTACAGATTTAGGATCCGGTTGGCCGAGCATATGTCGGAAACCCTTTGATATTGAAAGTTTCCAATCAAAGACACTTTTTAACCGAGTCTTAGAGGTAGTTACATAAAAAAGGACTTCGTCACTTTAACGCAAGATGTGACCGGTGCAGCGTGAGCGGCTGGTATAGATTAAATGTCAGGTCTGGTTTCGATTACGCTAATGTGAAGGTTCCTTTTTAATTAACTCTTTTTCAAGGAAGACAATATTTCCCCATAAGTATTACTACTTAGACAATAGGAGTACTGTTTGAGCGATGAGAATTACATTCCAGTATGCCTTTACTCTGAATTTAAATTCATTTCTTAATTTTTTTTTCTCTATACAAAATACTATCTGTTTTCATTAGCTTTAGATAAATACCGTAACAATAGTAATCGATAGATTGACATTGGTCTTTGTGGGATCGATAATATTTTATATTACCCGGACCTCAAGCTCCCTGACAATAATGTTTCGGATGCCCGGAAACAGATTCCGTTGGACACAAGGAAGCTTACGACGACTATGCCCGGAAAGCAGACTATTCTTAAGTCATCGCTACCATGCTCGGTAGCAACGACTTGGGGGGCTACTGTTCCGGACTGGCCCAATGGCTAGGCATGTCCCAACCTAATCCTTCTCCCAGAACGGCCCAATTGTCTAAGTCCAAACACTTTGGGAGAGAATTTACCTTTCTGCCCCTCCAACAAGGGATATTGACCAGTTTACCCTTTGTCACAACACTTTTCCTCGTCAGTATCTATCCGTCACACACGGTTCTACCATCCAGAAACAACCAAGATGCTTGTGCTAGTAACTACACCTCTGCCTGTAGTAACGGCTAGTTATGGACACATCTGCCCGTTCCAATGGCTAGTTCTGGCAGTTACCTATTCTTCGGGAAATAGTTATCTCGCCTCGAAAATAGGGACCAATGGCCAAGCACCGGGGGCACTATAAAAACCCTCTCACTTAAGAGGATCAGGTATCCAATATTCACCCTGCAATACTCATATTCTGTACTTGCTCTCTCTCTTTCTCGTTTTCTTACTTTAGCATCAGAGTGTCTTGCAGGTACACCCCCTCCTCCTATTTCACATCCAGCATCACAGACGCTTGTCTTTGATCCACCT